TTAGAGAGAGCAGGTGCTATCAGAAAAGTTGCAAAAGAGGAAATGAGACCGGAGTTGTTGTTAGAGATAAGCCCTGTCTTTGTAGTTCCCAAGCAGAGTCCAAAGAAATTCAGGTTGGTTATAAACCTCAGAAGATTAAACAAAACCTTGTTACAAAAATCCTTCAAATTCGAAGGTTTAGATTCTATGTTAAGAACAGTAGGCAGAAATTGGAGGGTCTTAACTTTTAACTTGAAAGATAGTTATCACTACATCTTAATAGACAATTTAGCTCAACATTTTCTGGGTTTCTCTTTCGGAAGAAAGTAGTATCATTACAAGGTGCTGCTATTTGGTCTAAGCCAGTTACCTTGGATTTTTGCCAAGGTAATGAAAGTAATGGTTGGAAGCTGGAGGTCAAGAGGAATCTTTTGTAGAAACTATCTAGACGATATCTGAATAGCACACCCATCAAAGGAAGTTCTGTTATAGCAGTAGGAGTTGGTTATAAAAAAAGACTTGAAGAGTTGTGGGTGAATTTAGGCAGAAGAGAAAGGCAGTTGGGACCCAGTTCAAAATCCAAAATTTTGCGGTTTTATTATAGACACAGCAGAGAGTTTAGTACTTGCTCTAGAGGAAAAAATTGTAGCTACTATCTTTTAACTAGAAGCATTGCTAGAGGTACCAAGAGTTTCAGCACAGATGTTAGCCTTGGTTACAGGAAAGATTCAGAGCCTGGCAAGAGCTTTTTCCCCAGCTCAAGTGAAAAGTCTCAAGTTTTACAGGTTGATAGATACAAGGAACTGCTGTTAAAATGATTGAGATACAAATGTTATTTTGTCATTACAAGCAGTGGAAGATATTCAGTGGCTAGTGGGGAACTTAAGAAGTTGGAACAGGTATCTAGCATGGAAACCCTCCAAAACAAAAGTAGTTTTTGTAGATGCCTCAATAATTGGTTGGTGTGGAGTTTACCAAGAACTAATAGCTGCAAGAAATTGGACATACAGGTTAACAGCAAATGTTATAGCTCAACTCGAAGCTATTGCAGTGCTTCGAGTTCTGCAGTCTTTTGGAGAATAATTAAAGGGTTCATAGGTAATACTAGTAATAGACAATAAAGTGGCTCTGAAGTCAGTAGTAAATGGGAGACCAATGCAATGACAGAAAGTCATTGCCAGAGAAATCTGGAAAGTTTGTTTAGACAAGGATATGAGATCTACTGTACAAGGTGAGTTCTGAGTGCATTAAATTGATCAGATAAGTTTACAAGAGTTTTGGATTTTGGGAATTGGGAGTTAAATTCAAGTATAATAGATCACTTGCAGAGGCGTTGGGGAGAGTTTGACATCAACAGATTTGCAAGTCATATAAATGCCAAGTTAAGAAGATTCAACAGTTTGCATTTTTGCTCTGGTACAGAAGTAGTAGACTGCTTTACACAAGACTGATATGGTTGTATAAATTATCTGTGCTCCCTTTTTGGCCAAATTCATTGAGCACTAGTACATGCAAAGGAGTGTAGTACAATAATAGTAATCATTATACCAGTTTGGATAGCAGCCCCTTGGTGGCTGATAGTTTTAAGTGTAAAGAGGGAGGAAGTAGATTTGCTGTTGCTATTAGAAATAATTCAACCAGGCCTGTCAGGCTTTTTGAAGCTATACAACAACAGTCACTAGAAGCTAAAAGCAATCTGAATAGATTGATCAAAAAGCTTTTAGAACATGCAGATTTCTTAGTTAAAAATGCCATTAGTGATGCATATAGAAAAAGGTTGGTTAAAGTATGGAGTATGTTTGTAGAATTCACTAAAAGGGTTAGATATAAATCTTACTCGGCTTCAGTTACTGTAGTTGCTGCATATTTGGCCTGGTTGGAAATCTCTGGACGGAGTTCAGAATTAGTAAGTTGCTTGGTAGCTATTTCAAGGATGCATAAATTGAGAGGTTTATATGATCCAACCAAAAGTAGTGTAATACAGGCAGTGGTCATTGGAATTAAAAGAGCTGTTTCTAGAGATGCAGAGGCAAAATGACCAAGAGACCCCTTGCTAGTGAATGCTGTTAAATAGTATTTGGATTTCCCCTCTCAAGGTACTAGTTTTGAAATGTAGATCTGTGATTTGGCATTTGTTACTCTGAGCTTAAGAACAATAAGACGCCCAGGGAAACTTTGTGAGTTAAAAGTAAAGGATTTATATTTAAGAGATGAGCTGCTTTGGATTAGGATAAATAGGTCCAAAACAGACCAATTAGCTAAAGAAAAGTTTGTACCTATTGAGCAAACGAATAGCAGATATTGTCCAGTTAGGAGGGTAGTAGAATATTTTAAAATCAGGCCAAAGACAGAGGATAATGCACCTTTTTTCCTGTTTAAAACAGGAAAAAAGATGACGGTCTCATCAGTTTTAGCTATAGTTAAAAGGTTTGCTGACTATACTAATTTGCAAGATAAATTTACGGCCCATAGCTTAAGGATTGGAGAGGCCACTGTAGCTATGAGAGGTGGATTGATGATAGAGCAAATTCAAGCAATTGGTGGCAAGGTTTCAGAAGTTGCTCAGCTTTATATGTTATCAGTAGGTATAGCAGAGTTAGAAGCATCAGCATTGATGGGGTTTGGTGATATCAGGTCATAGTTCACTTTAAGTATTGTGATTTGTGGTTGATTTGAGTTGTAGCACTTAATTGCAAATTGAATTTCTTTTGACAATACTCTAAAGAACCCATTTATGTTCTTTTTTTTTTTTTTTTTTTTTTTTTTTTTTTTTTTTTTTAT